GATACTGTGGACCTGATACAAGAGCTGGTCAGAGACTGTGGACCTGATACAAGAGCTGGTCAGAGACTGTGGACCTGATACAAGAGCTGGTCAGTGATTGTGGACCTGATACAAGAGCTGGTCGGAGATTGAGGATCTGATACAAGATCTGGTCAGAGACTGCAGACCTGATACAAGAGCTGGTCAGACTGCGGACCTGATACAAGAGCTGGTCAGAGACTGCAGACCTGATACAAGAGCTGGTCAGAGACTGCTGACCTGATACAAGAGCTGGTCAGAGACTGCGGACCTGATACAAGAGCTGGTCAGAGACTGCGGACCTGATACAAGAGCTGGTCAGAGACTGCGGACCTGATACAAGAGCTGGTCAGAGACTGCGGACCTGATACAAGAGCTGGTCAGAGACTGCGGACCTGATATAATAGCTGGTCAGAGACTGCGGACCTGATATAAGAGCTGGTCAGAGACTGCGGACCTGATACAAGAGCTGGACGAGAGGCTGCAAACCTTATACAAGAAATGGCCAGAGACTGCGGACCTGATACAAGAGCTGGTCACAGACTGCGGACTTGATACAAAAGCTAGTCAGAGACTGCAGACCTGATACAAGAACTAGTCAGAGACTGCAGACCTGATACAAGAAATGGCCTGAGACTACGGACCTGATACAAGAACTGGTCAGAAACTGTAGACCTGATACAAGAAATGGTCAGAGACTGTGGACCTGATACAAGAACTGGTCAGAGACTGTGGACCTGATACAAGAGCTGGTCAGAGACTGTGGACCTGATACAAAAGCTGGTCAGAGACTGTGGACCTGATAAAAGAGCTGGTCAGAGACTGTGGACCTGATAGAAGAGATGGTCAGGGACTGCAGAACTGATGCAAGAGATGGTCAGAGGCTGTGAACATGCTGCAGAAGAATGTCAGAGACTGTGCCCCTGCTATAGAAGTTGTCAGAGACTGGTGACATATTACATGAGACTGGTAGGAATCACTGCAACAACAGATCAATAGGTAACAGATTAGTGTCTGCAGGGGCCCCGAGGGTGGCACAAAAAGTGCCAAAGGGCTGCAAGTTGGGCACTAAATTGTGCTAAATTGTCAGATTTTCTGATACTACTCGAAATGTGGTTTTGTAATAATTATAGGCAGTGATGGGTCATTAGTACTTCTCTAGGTCAAAAAGATGATTGTGTTGAAAATTACTTTAACTGCAGTAGAAATAACACATAGATGACTGGATGTCTTCTTTTGAAGTTGAGTAGCTCACATGGTAGCCCACATATACACAGGTTCTCCTTAAAATGCATACATGGCTATTTATCTTGAAGCCTACAAAACAAGGCTGAGGTCTTTCTCCCCATCTCCATGTAATGGAGAAAGGTGCAAATCCTATGTCATGTTGGAAGCAGGGAAGTAAGTCACATGCTCCTCTATACCGGGAAGTAGCAGATCGTTTTTTGCTCCTGGTGGCTAATCAGAGTGGTATAGGAGTAAAGGGAAGGCAATCGAAGCTGCTGGTGGGGTTGGCATTAAAGATATTAGTTATTTTTATATACTCACTCCCACCTCATCCAATCAGAAAACGCTTTGCATTCATTGCCAACTGGACCAATAAAGTACCTATACCTGGGATTCTTTTTTAAAGTGAACTGGTTGTTTAGCTGTGCAGGTTCTCTTTGTGTAGCTAGGAGGTTTGTTCATTTTAGCTGCTGCAAAAATTTGTGTCTTATAGATTTTTTTTTTTTGCTGAAATACCATCCAATGAAGCATTTCCCTATTTGGCAGCTTGACTCCATGCAAAAGCAGTTTGCATTATCTCTGTCAAAAGTGAAGGAAAACACTCATTTCCTTGTGATAAGCAGGACATGGAAGCAGTCATAACCCACACAGGCTACGGAAACAGATAGAGACTTGGAGAAAAGGGCATCAATGATGATGTGTAGCATAGAATCCTATAGCACCGAGATAATTTTATAATTATTGGTGTATATAGGTGAGCAAGGCCCTGGAAGTGAATGATATTTTAGGTGTCATACCCTGGAGATGTATTCTAACAATGGGGTTGATTCTCCAAAACTGGAGCACTCAGAATCTGGTGAAGCTGTGCATGGTAGCCAATCAGCTTCTAACATCAACTTGCTCAATTAAAGTAGTTGTAAATCCTTACATATACCCAGTGAAGTGACTGGCCTCAGGTGATACACACAGATGAAACAAATCCTCCTACATAAGTTGTACCTGTTTATCTATAGCCCTTTCCTCTCTACTTCTGTTCAAAGTGCTGAACTTTAAAGCTTGTCTGAGAGTTCACAAAAAAGGGGGCGGGGAGCTGAAGTTACAGTCTGCAGAGCTCAGTGAGGAGAGTTCTGAGAGCTGATTGGAGGGAAGGGACACACCCCCTCCACGCAGCTCGCAGGAACAGACTGAGGCTGTCAATCTGCTGGAGGTCCCTCCCCGTCACCATTTCTTGGTGTCAGAAAAACTTGTCAGAAGTGCTGATAGCAGAGGGACTAAGCAGAAGACAAAAGTGACATGCAGTGCTCTTAACCGACTCCCGCCCGGCCTATGGCCGAATGGCAGCCGGCAAAAACCCTTACCTTTCTGGGTGGACGCCATATGGCATCCTTTTGCACATGCGCGGTTTGCGTTCCTGCAGAGCTGCGCAGCGGCGCGATCTGTCACCGGCTGTGTACTTCAGACAGATCTGACCAATCACAGCAGGTCACATGATAGTTGTATACAATGGATGGCTTCATTCATGCCATCCATTGTATACTAGTGTGCCTAGCTGTGAATGGTCACAGCAATCACATACACAAGCTGGGCCAATCACAGACCAGCTTTGTCATGTGATTAGCCGTGTCCAAATCACAGCTAAGCCAAAAAAAAAACAAAATAAAAAAAAAACCCCTGAATGAATCGATGTCATTCAGGTAAATGCTTGCTTATAGCAAAGTAATTCTTTGCTATAAGCAAATTGTGTAAAAAAAAAAAAAAATACTGATCACTTCCCCAAAGTAGTACAATGTTACTATGGTAACATTGTACTACTTTGGTCATAGTGAAATATGAAAAAAAATCTTAAAAAAAAGAAAAAAAAATTTAATATAAAATTAAAAATAATAGAAATTAAAAAAAAAATGTTTTTTTTTTTCATACTGTCACCAGTCAGTGTCCCTGATCACCGCCATGCCAGTTATATGATGATGCTGTACTGCACTAGTGACAGTTTGTAAAAAAAAAAAAAAAATAGTGAAAATAATTTTTTTCATTTTTTGATTTTCCAAAAAATTATGACAAAAAAAATACAACTTAAAAAAACTTGCCATGCCTCTTATGAAGTACGTTGGACTGTCTACTTTGCAAAAAGGGGTCATTTGGGGGATATCTGTACTGTTCAGACATTCTTGGACCTCAAGAAATTAGATTGGCCGTCAGTACTTCAGGACTGATCAATATTCAGATCTATACCATAGTTTGTGAACTCTATAACTTTCCTACAAACTAAATAATACATCCTAATTTGGGTTATTTTCACCAAAGACATGTAGTAGAATACATCTTGGCCTAAATTTATGAAGAACAATTATTTATTTGCAAACTTTTATAACAGAAACAAAGAAAAACGTGTCTTTTTTTGTTAATTTAGCAAAAAATAAAAACCCCAGCGGTGATTAAATACCACTAAAAGAAAGCTCTAGTTGTGTGAAGAAAATAATAAAATTTTAGTTTGGGTACAGTGTTGTATGACCGCGCAATTGTCATTCAAATTGTAAGAGCGCTGAAACCTGAAAAATGGCCTTGGCAGGAAGGGGGTAAAAGTGCCCGGTATTGAAGCGGTTAATTAAGACAAGTACACACTATGGAGGGATATGCTTTGTTCATTTTCATGGCTAAGGTTTACAACCACTTTAGGCTTTGGCAATAAAACCTGGAAGCTGATTGGTGAGTGAACTCGGTGTAGAGTTATTCATCCTGAGGTCATCACAGAGGACAAGGAGGCACTCTTTATGTCTGGAGGAAAAGAAATTTAATCTCCAAACACAGAAAGGTTTCTTCACAGTGAGAGCTGTGAAAATGTGGAATAGACTCCCTCAAGAGTTGGTTCTGGCCAGCTCAGTGGATTGCTTCAAAAAAGGCCTGGATTCTTTCTTAGATACACATAATATAACTGGATACTAACATTTATAGGTAACGTTGATCCAGGAATATCTGATTGCCTCTCCGGGGATCAGGAAGGATATTTTTTCCCTGCAGGAGCAAATTGGATCGTGCCTTGTGTCCTCTGGATCAACTGTGTGTATTTTTTTTTTTTTTTTAATGGTTGAACTAGATGGACTTTTGTCTTTTTTCAGCCAGACTACTAACTAACTATGTTTCTATGCAGCTCTGCCCCAGATTTTGCAGTCTCCAGTTTTAGTAAATCTCCCCCCACTGTGTTAACCAGCAAGAACTTGGTAGCTAATCATTTCCCAGCAGTTAATGTAGGATGCCCTGTGCAGAGGGATATCTGTAAGCTTTCTTTGCTCACCTCTCCTATTGAAGTTGCCTGGCATCAGTACTAATCTTCGATCCATGGTACTTCAAGTCACTGGTACAAGTATGTGGATCAGAAATCTGGACTTCACTGATTGCATGTTTGTTTCCATCAGTAACTCAAGAATAATGAAGCCAGAAATTGCCAGGCAGCTGGCTTTTTGAAAAGGTCTGCAATGTCAGCACCTATGTTTCTCTCTGCATAGGTAACTCCACTTTTGTTGAGAAAAAAAAACACTCCCCTCTGGGTGATCTACTTACATTGCAAGGGTTTTAACAAACTTTGTTGAAGATTCCTACCTTTTGTTATTCCAAAGGATTAGCTGTTTTTTTTGTCTGTGTCCCTGTGCAGAGTGAATGAAGGGTTTGCTAAGTATCAGTCAGCTGCTGCACCTGCAGGACTCTAATGAGGAAAGTGGCAGGATCTGCATCCCTTTAGATTTGATTTCCCTTTGTTGTAGGGCACAAGTGTCAAACTGGCGTCCCTCCAGCTGTTGCCAAACTACAAGTCCCATGAGGCATTGCAAGATTGACAGTTACAAGCATGACTCCCAAAAGTAGAGGCATGATGGGACTTGTAGTTTCACAACAGCTGGAGGGCCGCCAGTTTGACATCCCTGTGGTAGGGGATGCTCAAAATCTGTATCTTAGTGCGGACATCTGGTAAAATCAGTAAACCAATCATACAAGCAGGAAATGACATTTCTAGGGGGCATTCTGTACAGAACACTTCCAGGTAGCCATGTCGCATTGTATTTTACAGAAAATTACAGCGCTGCAGATTGAAAAGGAAAGGTCATTTTTAATAACGTTCATTTACAATTGCCACACAAGTCATATTGTATTTAGCTGAAGGAGGGAGTGATCCCTGCAGGGATAACGAGTGTATAAGGAGAGAAGCATTGTGGAGTACCTAGGAGGTATCCAACATCCATTTCATGCTGCAGCAAATTCTAGCAGATTCCATGTATGTGAACATAAAATGTATTAAGCCTATCTGTTAGGCTTGTAAGGAGGTGAGCGCACATCTTTACTGATTTAAGGATTCACGAAAAGTCACAATTGGTGTGTTTGAATCACGTCATCACAAATCCCTTTTTTTGGACTATTATTTGAGTAATGGGACTGTTTTTTTATTTTTGATTCACATCACATTTAACTTGATATTCATTTATTTATGTGTGGTGTGTTTTTTCATGGATATATAATTTGAAGTCACTAATTTATAAGTTTGTTAGAGATTGGGAGCACAACATTTTTTAGTTATATGCTTTATTTATTTATTTTATTTGCATTTTTTTTTCCTACGAAAGTGGAGTTACCCTTTAAGGGTATGTATACAGAAGTTGCAAAAGACATACTCCTAGCCTCTATGCATGTCTTACCTGAGCATCTCATTCCTCAGTAGCCAGTGAGAATACTTGGCACTTTCAGTTAAGGAGGAGCATGTGATTTGCTCCCCTGTGGCAATGTCCGGCTACCATATATTTCCAATGACTTTTCAGCCACCCCCCACTTCCTCAGAGCACCCATAGAGCCCTTCAGGTCTATACACCATACAGAGCTCTGTATCCTTATCCAGGGTTGACACTTAACCTGAAATGCAAGCACAAACTCCCCCTATATAAGTATGGGATTTTTTTAGGCAAATGTGAAAAACAACATTCAAAATTGTAAGTATTCTTCATTACATAATATATATAAAAAATATAAAACGTGATATGTTCCATCTTCTATACAGTATTGTTACAGAAATAGTATACAACATTGTGTCATATAAGCAGAGACTCTGTATGGAGTACCCAACGCGTTTGGAGTACTCAACCCCTGAAGAAGGAGACACAGCTCCTTCTTCAGGGGTGCCTCTGTATACAATACGATCAGATAGCTCAATCAAGATAAGGAATTGTTGAAAGCAGTATAACCAAATAACACCACATTAGAATACCCCAGCTTAAAAATAAAGGAGCAGGAAGGGTTCTCCACATCCCTCACCGCATGTAAGCACTGGGACTGCCTGATTGAATGACAGAAAATGCGAAACACCCAAATAGAGCGGAAAAGATAAAAAATTGTATAGTCCTCCATTGGATAAATCCTCCTCACCATATGGCCCCCACAAAAAGTCTAGGCAATATGGATCCCCCAGTAAAACAAAGCAGATGGTATTCGTTGGTCTGGGGTCATTAACCTGAAATGCAGCCATTACCTTTTTGCTGGCCAAAATGCCGCAGAATAACCATTGCTACCCAGGGAGTTGCCTGTATGTACAGGTATTACAACAATGGAATTATGAGATGGCAACCATGGAAAATAGAAGCTACAGTATATTTTTCTTTAATTGCACAAAACTGAAAGTGCTCTTCTCCTTTTCTTGGCCAGTTCATTCATGTGATTTCATCCACAACCTTGTGACCCATGAAAGTACTGGCTGTTCCGCATGGTGACAGGGTGGGAAGGTCATAAATGTTTCAAAAGATTTTCTAAGAAACTGGAAAACCCCTAGCAGATGTAGAAATCGCAGTAAAGCCCCATGGAAATGCCAGAGTTCTGAGACTGCCTCTGCTTAGTCACTGATATTGATTTAGGAAAACCCAGTTGAAATTTCTGTTTAACCGCTTCGCGACCGCCCTATAGTAGAACTACTGCTACAGGGCGGCAGCGCTGCACAAAATCACGTATATATATGTGATTTTGTATTTCCAGGTAGGGGGCAGGTATGGCCATTGGCAGCTACAGCTGTTGATCGTCGGGTCCCGGCTGGAGATTCCCCGCCGGCACCTGGCGATCACCGAGGAACACTGACGGGGGAGAGGTCTGTATGTAAAAGACAATCTCTCCCGTCAGCTCCAGCAAGCTGCTTTGTATTGCTCTGCACATACCGAATGTGGCCCTTTTCTTGAGTTTCTCTGGCCCTTGGAGAACCATTCCTCCTACTGACACCATGAATGGGGCATTACTCACTTTTATCAACAATGGGGTACTATTTCTCCTTTTGAAATCAATAATGGGGCACTGATGCCAGGGAATTTTCTACTCCCACGGGCTAAAATCCATTCCCCCTAAAGTCTGAGGGACAGTAAACTGGCCCTTTGCTTAGAAAGTTTGGAGACCCCTGCTTTAAGCTGTACTACTTAAAGGGGAACTCCAGCAATTTTCATAAAAATACTGTAGCTGATGACTTTTATTAAACAGGTACTCACCAGCCTAGGGATCCAGAGCTGTCATTACCTGGGGTGGTTCTTCGCCAGTCTATGGATCCTCGATGCCACTACCTTGAGTGTAGGAAGCTGGCTATGACTTCCTACTGGCCCGCAGCCAGGTCCCCACTGTGCATGCGCAAATTACACTGAGCTTTCTGAATGGACCGTCACAGATCCCAGTAGGTTGTATGCGGGGGGGGGTTTGAACATCTGCTTGGCTCGCAGAATTGAGAGCGGGTACTTATCAATACTAGACTACCCACTACCTGAAAAAGAAAAGAGAAAAAAAAACATTTCCATTAATGGCAGGGAGGGGAGGAGAAGTAAAATAAATGCAACATCCAATTTTATGTGAAGTTCCATTTTAAGTATTAGTGGTGGCATGAATCAGACAGTGTACCAATTTCGTAGTGTTGATCTTTACACAACCACTAAATCCCAGTTGTTATTTTGTAGTTCAGGTTTCAAAAATGGATGCTTTCTATTTCAGATGCTTTATAAATTGAGAGGGTTTTTTTTTCCAACCCAGAACAGGAAGAAATGTCACTTTGAAGCTGAATTCCATGTATGGTTTTTATTGCATAATTGCATTGACCTAGCTTGGACCAGTGCAAGTATTCATATTCCAAACCTATGGGACCATTATGGAAGCAGAGGATCACTGTAGTAGGTACCACTACTACAATGATCACCACAATATTCCTGGTCCTGCAACATTCGCAGAATGCTTAGTGTTCTTTTCTGCGAATATAACACATTCTCTGATTGGATGTGGTGGGGCAGTGAAGTCATGATCTCCACCTCATCCAGTCAGAAAACACCTTTATTGTATGAAAAAAACATAAGATGTTGTGTGAAGGCCGTCTGTACCCCCTCCCATGTTCACTATGCAGAAGGGCAACTGCTTGGCACAAGACCTGGAAAACTGCTAGGATCACTGTAGTAGTAGTGGCTACTAGGTGCGCCCAAGAGGAAAAGGTGCAGTGTCCATGCCTACTGCCAGCAGCCTTTCTATATCTGTGACAGGCTGACATACTGTACATAGCACTTGGATGCTGTACCAAGTGGCACTTTAAAGGACATATGCATTTGCATTTAGGGACATGTGCCCAGAAATGAAATGATGCTTTCAGGTCATACATCACTGTAAGCACGTGACCCTCACTGTGAGTGCCATTAGGTGCAGCATCCAGCTGGCGCATGTTGCAGCCTGTTGAAGATTTTGATGAGCTGCTGGTAGCAGAGCTGACACCCCTAAATGTGGCTGCAGAAACGCCCTGTGTGCCTGAGGCCTTAATGGTTTATTGATAATGAATATTATGAGTTTTCCTGTTCTGTATACATTTTTTTTCTGTTGGCGAAAAAAAAAAACTCATCAAAAAGTACTGGAAACCTAGACGTAATCCGAGTCATAACAAACCCTAAGGCCAAGGATAATTTTGCTTTGGTGTTTTATGAATCAGTTTCGCAGCTTCTGTACAGGGTGTCTTCTTTCAAAGGCACTCCTACACCAGATTCATATTTTTTTCCTCCACACTTGAGACTTGAAAAGGCCCCTGTACTGCTGTACAACAAACTTTCCATTTCTATAACCCATGAAGCATGTTATGCTTTCTCCTAGCTATTGGACTCGGTTCACACTGCTGCGATCCCATAGTCAGAGAAAAGTAGTGCAGGAACCCTTTTTTTCTTGCTGTGTATTGAGTTGCATTAATTAAGACAGAAGTGAATGTGTGTTTGACTTGTCGTGCAACTTTATGCAAGTCGCATGATAAGTCGCAGCAGTGTGAGCCAGGGATTAAAGCTGTTGATGAAAAAAGTATCAAATGTAAATACATATTTACACCCAAGTGGTGACCTCCCAAATCCTAAATATTTTTATTATAAGGGTTCATTTACACATGCGGCTGGGGGGCAGTAAAATTGGTGATTGAGTTTTATTGCCCCCTTAAGCTGTAGAAGCAGCCAGACAGGGTTGTACATATGGCACAATTATTTCCCCGTCGCGTTCTGCAGGCAGGACTGTTGCCAAACCAGACCCATTCAAGTGAAAGGGGCTGCACCGTAGTCGCTAACCATACACTAGGCTCTTTGATGCAGAAAGGTAATACAATTTAAAAACCCCACTCAGCTGTAAAAAACAAAAAAGAGGCATTCAGAAGGCAGGAACATACTTGTCAGCCACACCTGTACTGCGCTCTGAAAAGCGATCCATCATGAATCGCACTTCAAACAGCAAAGCAGGTGTAATTTAAGCCTTATTATTATAACAGAATTAATCTAAAATTGTCTGCACATAAATGTATTTGCCCTTAAAACATCTGTATATCTCTAAACAAAATCCCAGATTATATGCCACATAGAGATCATCCATGTTTTCTGTGTTTTTGACTCTCCCATCTCTTCTGGCCCTCCCCAT